ACCATAATCTTGTCTGTATCCTCAGGCAGTCTCATGAATATTCGGAAGCTAGATTCATTTGGTTGAGTTAAAATGATTACATCCTTTTGGTAATGCCTCACCAAATTAAATCATTGGTTCTCAAATTCACCAGAATCAAATTTTTTTTTTTTTGCAAATCAGAAAAAAACGAAGAGGCGAATCCGAGAACCAACAAATCAAATTGGTGTGGCCTTAATAGATCCATTTGGTTTGGCCTACAAATGTAAGTAAGGAAAGTACTGTGAATCAGATTACATTGGGAAGGTTCTTCTGATAGGCTCTTTACACTTGACATACTTAGATATTCTAAATGACTTTACAAGTGTGTGAACAGGTGTTGTACATCTCACACAACCCCATTCACGTGTAACAAGGTTTACATACATGTACGTCGTACAATGTCATGTACCGGTAACTAGCGGATACAGTGCCTAAATGTCACATAAAAGTCTCTTTCTTTGCTGTTTCCAGAGCAAGGTTTTGTTGTTTGTTTGGCCATGGTTTCCAATGTTTCTTTGTCCCACTCACAGCCTTTTCTGATCCAGGGTGTTTTTGTGAGGATTATGTTTTTTCCACCCCACACAGCATCTAAGCCAGGTGGCAGCTTTACTGGACACCATACTCCGCTGTACTTCAACACAGCACCAAGACTTCCTGGACCTACAGACTGTCATTAGAGGTAGGGTAGGGTTTGAAATACTGGTACTTATTTTTCCACCCCTCAGACCATCTTTGATTCTTTCATTGTGCAAATGAGCAAAGAAATTGAAAACGTGCTGCTCAACAACAAATCTCCATAGCAAATAGTCTGTATGTATTTTGATGGCAACTTCTTGTTGAACATTTTGTAATCTTATTGTACATGTACATGTATATTAGCTGTTTTCTGAGATTTTCAAGTCATCTCTTTTGAAAAGTTTTTAATGAAAATGCTGTGTAAATTGATTGGCTAAAATTCAGACTTGATTTTGATTGTCTGCCACATTCTAATAAAATTCTCTTTTACACACACAGCCCTGAAACAGGCCATCAAATCAGCGCAGGAGTCCACGATGCGATCCTCCACGGCTCACGACGGACCAAGCATGGTCCCAGGTGCAAACCTGCACAAGATACAGAAGAGCATCACGTTTGCTAAGGGAGTCAAGGTTTGTTAATCGTAGTCTTTAAATCTATAAATTTGCAAAATTGCATGATTCGACAGTTCTGTACTTGGACTGAATTATAAGTACAAGGCCAGTCTACAAGTATGAACCACCTAATTACCTCTGAGGTACTAGTAATTTGTTTTTGGTATGTCTGTGTGTGTGTGTGTGTGTGTGTGTGCTTTATGGAGGTCTGAGGTCTCCTAATTCTTGTTCTGAACTTCAATTTCCTTTGTCTCTACCATGTAACTGCAGCACTTTGTTGTGAACGTGCCAAAGAGAACTCTGGTACACTCTGGAGAATTGACTCTGGTGGAGAAGAAGAAGACAACAAAGGTACAATTTAAAATTTCATATTTAATATACATGTACATACATACATACATACATATATTACATACATACATACATACATATCCTGGCTTTGATTATTCTGCTGCCGGCTTCCCTGTCTCAGGGGTGGGTAGCAGTCGGCTGATGTAAGTTAGCTAAAATTAATGTAGTGTTAATAGCTAAAAATTGTTGTTAGTACCCAAATTTTTGACTATACAACTTCAGTCTTTGTCAAGGAATGAGCAGTCCACCACTTCTGGTCAAAGAAAGAATCTTGGACACCAAACCAGACTTTTTTGCGCTTAAGGTATTAAGGAGGCAATCTACATCAGAACATTACAACCATCCCTCACCAAGTCATCTGCATAATGTCACAGAGGTGTTGGATTGTTCATTCCTTGACAAAGACTGGAGTTGTATATGGTCCAAAATTGTGAAAACTCCAATTTCTTGTATTGCAAATTACAGTTTAAACCTGGTTCATGTTTGATGAAGAGATATTCCATCACTCATGCTGTAGTTTGTACCGTACAGGTGTGGACCATGCTGTTCAATGACATCCTTGTCTTCACTAACCTGAAGGAAGAAGGGAAGATCTGTGTCATCAGGGAGCCCATCCCCATGGAGTTTGTCCTGGTCAACACAGCAGAAAATGGTAAGCCTTGCTTAAAGTAAGGTGGGAGGATGATTGGACGAGAGACAAAACAAATTTACTTCATCAGAGTGAAGCTGCATTCTCTTTTATACCACCTACAGTACTCATCCCCCATTGGTTGTTAGTTTCTAAGCAGGCCAGGGTGCTCTCGTGAGATAGCCAACCAGCTTAGAGGTCTCAGTTTGCACTACCGGTAACAGTTACTATTTCTTTTAGCCAGTCAGCACTAACTAAGGGTCTCAGCCTATCAGGTTGCCCCATTCTAAACTGATTACCACATCCTTGCTGTCACAATTTTTGTTTGTTTTTAACAGTATTTGTTTAGGCAGAAATGTAATGTTTAAAGCCCTATAGGTATGAATTGTAAAAGGCAAAAGTATATTTTCATGTACATTGTATGAACATGCATGTGCATTGTTACATGTACATGTTCAATGGTAAGATCTTACAAATGTATGCTGGTTTAGAAAATTTATGATAGCGATATTTTACAAATGAGCTAAGATGATTGTTTGTAATCTGACATGCCCAATTTCTTAATTGATTGTATGAAATTTGTACCTGTACAATCCAACTTCAGAATCAGAATGTCTTGATGTAAAATTTCAAGTGGTATACAATCCTGCACATGTACATGCTGGCTGAATGATACATGTTGTGTGTGTCATTGGCCACCATCTCTGCATAATGTATTGAGCATGCATGGCTACTGAAGTACTGTCGGCTGCTGTTAGATGTCTCTTATGAATGCCAGTGTCCATGCTGCGTGTAATTGTAGGTGGCGTAGTGTCAATATTTACATGAAAGGCACATGTGAAAAATTTGTTCCTTCCAGGAACCTCTAACGACTTCTGACATCACACTTGTCTCTCTATTTTCAGAGTTAGAGTTCCACGTCACTCACTTGTCAAAGGTAAGAAGACCGATGAATGTTGTTGTAGTAAGTGCTTTAGAGGAAGAGCCGTGTAGAATTTTTCAGGCACATGTGAATGATGTGTAACCGTGCTGTCTTACACAGCAGCAGCATTTCTCAGAACCGGCCAGTGTTACATGTAGATGGGGCACACCAGGATGGATCTTCCATGGAGCTCTGGAACTCCGTTAGCTCCAGTGTCCTTTCTAACTGCCGTGATTTGCCTCGGTGATGCAGCTCAAGGGAAATGTTTGTTTGTCATTCAACAGACTGACTCATTTGAATCAAATGGAAAAAGTATGTTATTCTTTATTAAACAGATTACTTTCGGAAGGTTTCCTCCAAAAACGTCAAGCATCATCATACTACGCTTGTTGAAATCAGACAGAAACTAGTTTTTCTGCAACACCTGGTTTACTGTGCAGCTAGTTTATCTCTATGGTTGTTTGTATGTCCTTTTGTGTATATGTCAAGCATGCCTTCTTTTAATGTTTAATGTTTTTTGGTTATTTCATACATAAAATAAAGAATAAAATCTAATGAATTGAAATCAGTGGCAGAGAATGGTGAATTAAAAAAAGGAATCCCATGTTTGTAACGTAAAGGATTGACATCAGGAAGAAGAAGAAGCCAACTCGGAAGATTTGTTGCCTGAAGTGTACCACAATTTCTTCTTCACAATATGGAAGCTGCAAGGCTTAAACTTCTCAAAAGTGCAGTTTTGAAGTGGCCGTAAAGCATTACAGTATAGGAATACGCCACCTAACTTCCTCAGTACCATGGGTATGATGGTTTATTGGTTGTTGACAGCTCTGCAGGTTGGTATGACACACGTAGGTGTACACCGCTTACGTAGGTGTGCACTTTCCCTAATGTTGTTCTAGGAGAGCGTTTCTAAAGCTTAGAGAAAATATCTTCCACTTGGGAGAGACTCAGATTATCCCTTAGCAAGAACAACTCTACACGATAAGTGACAAACTACAATGTAGGCAGGCCAAGGTCAAGTATAACTTGGGACACATTTCTGTTATAGTTATTTTTCCCAAGGCTCTATTTCCTGGCCATCCCGGAAGCGCCTTTCCCTTTTTGTCTTTTATTTTCCGCCCTGAGAATCTTGGTTCAGGCATCTGGTGACTCCCGGGATGACCTACATGTCCATTTGTAGGTCCCATCCCAGAACTGTTGTCTCGGTAAGATGACCCCGACAACATTCCGCCTTCCCAAGTCACAGTAAAAGTAAACTGAAGTGCTGTCGTCATGATGCCCAACTGAGGAGAAAGTATCCCCTAAAGATATCTGCCTCTTTCTTGGAAGTGGTAGATAAGTTTTGTTGACATTGATTTAATGACTTCTTGTCTGTGTGGGTGAACTATTTTTCCGTCATCTCAATTTTGTTTGGCATAACGTCATGTTGAGCCCTGGTACGACAATCCTGGGGATTCTTGGGTCATGGTCCCTTAGGCAAAATTTTGAATTTATTTCAGAGGGTAAAGATTTTTTGTGATTTTGATTCATGGATATAATACAAAAAGTTCAATGTTATCATATGATGAATGGAAGGGGTCAACAATTGTACTAAATTGTATTTTAAAGACTTATATATACCAGCTCTCAATCTTTAATATACATAAATTTTGTTTTCGTTCCATGTATGTGGAAAAATGTGTAGAGATTTATTTGGAATTAAATGACGTAAGTTTTATCTTTTTGATATATTTTGTTAAGGCCCTTACCTCTTTTTTATTGGTGACGTCTAAAGTGACCTGCAGGCCGATTTGAGCTTCTTCTTGAATGTTCAGTCAAAAACAAAGTACATACAGTCACATGACTACTCTTGCTGCACCTATTGACATTGTGGTATAACACAGGAACGAGAAGTATAGATACCCCCGCACCAATGTTGGTATGGTCGCCCACCAGTTTACATATCCTACTGTCATGTTTGCTATGAAACCTCGTCAGAAGTTTTGAAATAGTACATCATTATTTGCTTATCTTTTCCCCTAGACATTCTGAATAAATTTGCTCTCTCGCCTACCAAGCTAACATGAAGCTGATATATTACCAAATTCAGTTTGCATCTGAAAATGCCATGAACAATTTGCTTTGCTGCTTGGAGGTTTTCTCTTTGAGCCAGCACTGGCTTACTGCTGTCAGGTGTCCTTCCTTCCATATGCCATTAGCCTACCTTGACTTAATATGTAATATGTAATACATAGTGTTTACATCTATGTACTGTCGTAACTTGTGTGTTGTGAAACGAAACAATAAATAAACATTAATTATCATAATGAATCAAACAAAAGGTCTGGTAATACAGCCAATCTGTCTGCTGTTGTTCCCATGGACGTTTTTGTACCACCAATCAGGTCGCCTCTTCTAACCAGGATTGTCAGCCAGGCATGTGTCAGGAAGTATCTGATTGGCTGACAGTCAACATTGGTCAGAGCTAATTTTCGCCTCAAGAAGGATGGATAAAACTTACAGCATACAGCATACCCGTAGATTAATGAAATTTTTTCATTTTGTTGTATAAAAAGAGACAACGTGGGTGTTTTAGGGGGACCTTAACATCTTTATCAGCCCTGGTACATAAAGAAACCATTATTAAATCGAGCCTCACTCAGGAAATTGAAGAAAGCACTTTAGGAGATCAAAGAAAAGTTTTTATGCAACACCCAAAATAAGAAAATCCGTTTAGTGTTACCAACATAAATTGATACCGGTAATACAAATAATGACGTCGTATTCTAGAAAATATGAATTTAACACAAAAAGATGTTACATATAATTGCGTGGGATTTTAACATTATCACCAAGTTAGTTACATGAAGTAAATTTTTTTTATCAGATTCAGGTGACTCAGAAGGACAATTAGTAGTACATCAAAGATAACATATTTTATGTCAAATTTTTGTCAAAAATAACATTCCATATTAGCATAACACAGAACACACTTATGGTATAGGGATTGGGATTTTAACATAATCAGCAAAGTCCTTGATTTTTCTGACCTTCATCTACTGATTGGATCTCCTCCTCAGATGAGCACCTTGAGATCAAAGAGAGCGGGTCTCCAAGGCAACCAAACCGTTCTTCAAGCATCCAGCAGGAGGGAGCGGGGCCTGTGGCTACAGAGAATAGAGCAGTGCTCCTTGTCACTGCAGCAGAAGGAGACCGGCAAGGAGAATCGACAGGTAACGTCTCAGCATCTCTCTATAATGTGTACAGTTTCTTTCAGTTATTTCTTGTCAGTGTTTGTGGTTTTTGTTTTATGTTTCTTTGCTACTGTGGTGAAATGTCCAGGTTTTGCGTCTTGTATCATGTTCTATACATGGGGCCACCAGATGTGTCAACTGAAGCTACATAGAGGTGGGTTTTGAATTTGAGTTCATTGACACTGGGTAGCGATTACAGTTCTTATTACTGTAACATGTAATAGATCTAGATGATTGGGCTTATACTTGTTACTTACTTGTACTTGAGCAGGTAAGGTCTTGATTCTTGCGAGCTCCAAGAAAGGGTGGCTCAATCACCAATATCATCCAGGTTTTGTATCTTTAATTTAGTGTATCCTGTTCTAAACGTGAAACGAAATTCTGGTCATGATTTTTGGGAAGCACCTGATATCCTAACCTAAAGGCTTGTACATGCAAAACCCAGTATTGGATTTGGGCTCATTGACATTGGATCGGGATGACAGCATTTGTATGTGCATTGATTGTCGTAGATAATTGGATTATTTGTTACTACTAGATGCTTGAGCAACTTGAAGCAAGATTCTTGTGAGCTCAAAAAAATAGGTTGCTGGAACACCCAGGCCCTTTATTAGCCCACACCTACCCTACATGGTGTCTTCCAATGTATTTAATGTCTTTGTACTGGTCATACATTTTTGTGTAATTGTTCACACAAGTCTTAGAGTAGAACAGAAAATGAAAAAAAATTTATACCCTGCAACAATCACTTGTTCCTTCAGCCGCTTTCTTCATCTTAACTCTTAGAACTTAGCAGATGTGGGGATACATCAAGACATATTCCCTCTTTGATCAACAATGAAACAATAAATGATATCCCATTGATGTTGAGGTAGAAAGACATGCGATGTTACAGTGCAACAACCGCACTTCTTCTGTTTCTTTGAACAGGTCGGCTCATCTTAATGTTGATTATCATGAAAGCTGGTCTGTGTTGGTAGTTACATGTTCAAAGTAAAAATTTTTGATCCAACACAAAGAATGGTTCTTACCTAGAGCTTTTGGCCAGCTAGAGAATGTTGATTGGCTGTGTGGAACTGAGATTCTAGAATCGAACGGACACATTGATTCTCTGACACAACATTGCTTCTAACGAGCTGCTCGTTAAGATTACAGACAGCCCGTGGAGAGTGTAACGGCAGCGGCGCACAGAACTGCCACAAACTTTACTGCCTCCATTAGTTAGTCTGGACCTTCTGGCATGCTCTGAATGCAAATTTGAAAGTGGCAACCGCCACAGGGTGAAATCTATACTTTTCTTAGTTGCTAACAACTTCAAGCCGTCTGTCTATAGCCATTAGGGACGACAGTTTTTGTGGTGAAATTTCTATGTCTGTCGCTAACAAGCTTACGGAGTCTGTCTATAGCCATTAGAGACTACAGTTTTTGTGGTGGGATTTCTATACCTACTGTATACCTGTTTTGAGTCACTAACAAGTGTACAGAGCCTGTGTATAGCCATTAGGGACTACAGTTTTGTGGTGGGATTTTTAATGTTTTGAGTTGGTAACAAGCGTATGGAGTCTGTTTATTGCCATTAGGGATTGCAGTTTTTATGGTGGGATTTCTGTACATGTTTTGAGTCACTAACAAGCTTACGCATGTCTATTGATAGCCAAAACTGGATACAGTTTTTGTGGAGGATATTCATGGTACCGGGAATAAGTCTCCATTGCCCGTATGGCCAACAAACATCCTTGCTATGGCTGGAAATGAATGAAAAGAGAAAAAGCTTAGTCTACCAGAAACATTTTCCCCACAAAACACAGGAAATAGGTTACAGAGGGTCAAGATAACAAAATATTCCAAAATTTTCAAGATAATAAAATGCACCCATAGAATTATTGCACCTTGAAGTTTGGTGAGCTGGCTAGAACACTAATAGTTACAATATCTAGTGTTACCATCATGTAATTTTATCATATACACAGTATGTAACTTCAATTACACATAGCACCCATACATTTGTATGTACATGTACAATGTACTTTCTACTGAAGCTGCAGTCAAATTCTTTAGATCAGCAAGAGCTCAATTTGCTTTTCTTGGAAAGAAGGTGCATCGACCCTGCCTCATTCTTCAAGCCCACTAAAAATACACAGACTAGAAAGGCACCATTGCAAACAAGCCGGCATTTGCGCTTCTAGGTTGTACACTCCCCGGCTGTCTGTCACGACATGCTTGCTTTACCATTTAGCAAGCTGGCGTCAAGCCTCTTCAAACAAGCCCTGGTGATGGAAGAAAAGAACGAATGTAAATTTGCTGATGTTTTAAGGATCAACTGACGTACGTATACGTACATACATCCCTCAGTTTCCTGAGGACATATATAATAGACTGCAGGGAAAGACAGTAGCAGAAGTTTTGAGAGCTGAGCTGCTTCTAAGCAAGGTAAGTGGTACACGGTATTAAGTAGCATTTTGTTGGGATAAGTATTTACTAGTTCTCAACATTATACTTCCTGTGAATGATACTAGTAGATCACAATTGTTCATGGTTCCAAGGCTAGACTGTCCTGGAACTATATTATATGACATGAATAATGTGCAGTGCTAGTTACTAGAATGGTAACTGCCAATTTTTCTCATCATCTTTGAATACTGCACATAGCTCTTGCTTTCCAAGGGTCATTTACCATTTGTAGAGTTGACAAGTACCAATGCGATGGCCAAATGGGTAGAGTCTTCAGTTTGCATTCGGTAGGTCGTAATGTCAACGTAATGTCAAAGTAATGAAGCTAAATTTCGGTAAAATTAAATCTACCTACTAGTACCGGTAGATGATTTTCTATTAATGTAAAGCAGGAAGAATACTCCTTTACATGTTTTCTTGTCTAAGTTTGTTCTGTTGTTTTAATAATAGTACATTGTACAATTGTAAAAGTATCAGATGCTTTTGAAGGACTATATTTTATACTCCCTTGTACGTACATGTGCACATCTACATGTACACATCATTACACCCCCACACTACACAGAAATGAAAGTTTAGAATGCCAAAAATTTTGGAATGCTGTTTGTGTAGGAGGTGGTTTCAGATTTTCAAGTCCCAATTAAGAAGAGCTCTGTCAACCGTTAGCTGCAAGGGATGCTATTTGCAAGCTCACAATTGGGATTAATTATGATTTTACAATGGCCAAGCTTTAAGGTGTCCTTTCCTCTTTAGGCACATTGTCTAGCACGTGTGCATCGCTTTACATAAGGCCTCATACATACACAATCTATTTACAGTTACCACAGCCAAGGGAGCTACAGGTATATTGTTACTAGTAGTTTTTGTGAGGTGGGCAATTCAAAATTTATGGAATCTTTTTGACACAACAAAAAGTACAGGGACTTTCATAAACCATAAAATAGAACTATGAAATAAATCCTTAAATTCTGCTAATACTCAACAATAAGGCCAAGCATAAATAAATCTGTTATATCTTGCTACAATTGGGTGGGGTCAGGCATTTTTTCAGGCATTTTTTCATTGTGGAAGTTGTCACGGTGTCTTAAGGTGTCTAATATTCAAATCTGCATGTGGCATCAAGCCTCCTAAAATCTATAAACTTGTACTTAGCAAAGAAGAGTGAATTCCTATCCTTGGTGCTGACTGCCATCCACACACAAAAAACATACCTGTCCTTGGTGCTGAGTGCCATCCACACACAAAGAAACATACCTGACCTTGGTACTAAATGCCATCCACACACAAAGAAACATACCTGTCCTTGGTGCTGAGTGCCATCCACACACAAAGAAACACATCTGTCCTTGGTGCTGAAGCTATCCACACACAAAAAACATACCTGTCCTTGGTGCTGAGTGCCACCCACACCCAAAGGCATACCTGTCCTTGGTACAGAATGCCATTCACGCACAGAGGCATACCTGTCCTTGGTGCTGAATGCCATCCACACTCAAAGACATACCTGTCCTTGGTGCTGAATGCCATCCACACCCAAAGGCATACCTGTCCTTGGTACAGAATGCCATTCACGCACAGAGGCATACCTGTCCTTGGTACTGAATGCCATCCACACACAAAGACATACCCGTCCTTGGTGCTGAATGCCACCCACACCCAAAGGCATACCTGTCCTTGGTATAGAATGCCATTCACACACAGAGGCATACCTGTCCTTGGTGCTGAATGCCATCCACACTCAAAGAAATGATGCTGAACACCATCCACACACACACACAGAAACACATCTACCATAGGTGATGAACAATCTCAAACACAGGCACACAGACCTGTCATTGGGGCTGAACACCATCCTCACACAGACCTGCTTTAAAGCTGAACACCAACCACACCAAGGTCAACAAATCTGTCTTTAAGGCTGAAGAAATTCAAGAAAAAACTTATTTGAAACCATTTATCAAAAGTTTGATATAGCTACTTGCTGATCTATATGCATCACAGATGCTTCCATGATAAACACACAGGACTGTCACACAGGACTTCTGAATGGCTCTTTCGTCAAAATGAATCAAATTGTTGAGAGTGCTTCACTCAACTTCACACAAAATGAAGTTTGGCTGTGACAGCTGTTGTGATCCAGATATTCCATATAAGCTAATTACGTTGAACCTTTAGTTTGAATATGGTACATTTATAGTGTTCTCAGAAGTAATGGCATTACAGAGAAACGCTCGAAAACAGGATGTCAAAAAATAGCTGTTTTCAATGCTGCTGTTACACAGCCCATACACTACATGAATCAATTGTACTGTCCTTTGATCCCAACGTGCCTCAAGTCAAAATATGGTGCATTCGTAGTCTTTCATGAATCAAGCAATTGCCTTACGAAATCGTGGAATTCTTTGAACACAGGATGTAGAGAATGAATGTCTTCGCTGATATTGAAAAGCAGAATCAGCCAGACTTTACAGGGATACGTGATATTGATCCAAATGTGTCTTGAGTCGATTACACCTTTACTGAGAGAA